ACTTTTAAGTGCTACCTCAAACTGATCAACGAAATCTGTGGTTATGTATTAATTTTTGTATTTTAATCATTTTTTGTCGAATTTTTGGAACTTTAGGCCCATTGAGGCAACAGAAGATATCAACCCAGAGATATATATGTATATAGATATACATATATATATATATATATATATATATATGTATATCTATATACATATATATCTCTGGGTTGATATCTTCTGTTGCCTCAATGGGCCTAAAGTTCCAAAAATTCGACAAAAAATGATTAAAATACAAAAATTAATACATAACCACAGATTTCGTTGATCGGTTTGAGGTAGCACTTAAAAGTTACAATATTTTAAAAACAACAACTATNTATATATATAATATTTATTCATTGAATAGTAAATATTTAGACATTATAATTTTACTATTTTTTTCTAAACAATTTTTTTTAATTATTAAGGGGCAAATATTTTCAATTTGAAAGAATAGTAATTGCTCAGCTAAAGTTAATAAACCAATTCTTAACCTAATGAACTTGCATACATTGAATATATGACAATGCATTTAACTTCATTTCATTAATTCGGAAATGATTTTGATTTATTTCTGGAATCATATTTACACGTTTAATGTAACTTCTGTTAATAGATAAAAAAAGTTCACTGCATATTTTTTTTTCTTTGCTAATAAAGAAATAACCAGATATTTATTGAGATATCAAAAAAGAATCTAAGTCAAAACACAATTTATTGTTCTTACTTCGCGTAACACTATGAGTTGACTAGCTATAATTCAATTTTTTTTTTACCTTATTTAGCCTTTTACCTTATTTACCTTACCTTAAAACATTATTGAATGGTCTTAATTTTCTCCCTGTCTGACACATATTTGGTTCTTGTATATTTCAATATAGTGTGTTCTCTTTTTATGGAGTCTCTATAAGTGTGGAACATCTGGTTAAAAGATTTACCAGTATGGGAAAGATTTCATTCTTTGATTGGTTAAAAGTGGTTAAAGCTAACCACACCTAACCACGAAATTTCATTGGAATTGAAATTTCTGTTTCTGATTTCGAAACTGTCGAGTTATGACAAGCTTTCAATTGCGAGTCGTGGTGGTTAGTGGAATAGAGCGTCTCCTCCGAAGGAGATAAACTGGGTTCGAAGCACAGCGATGGCTGGTCGAAGCTGCTCCACACCCAGTTTGCATCAACACATTGCTGACGTAAAATATCCACAGTGGTAAATGAATCATGGGTTAGATTTCCCCTACTTTCAGATAACCATGGAGGTTTTCATAATTTTTCTCTCCATGTACAGTTTAGATCCATCTAAAAGTCCTTCACAAAAACAAACTTCTTCTCAATGCTTGATCCAGGAGATCTCCTGTTTTCTAGATTATGTTCAAAATTACAAAACTATGGATTTGAACATTAGCAGCCTTAAACTTAAAGTTGGATTAGCTGTTCAACGATGGTAATAAAATAAAATAAAATTGTCAATTGTGAATTCTGCAATCCGATGAAACCAACTTTCTGTTCGGAATCACTTTTTAGCGAGTTTCAATAAGCACCCTGACAAACGTTTTAGGGAGCTGAAAATACTTGGAATATTCGTTCTTTATATTGTATCAAAGAGATTCCTTTCTCGAACGTAGCGAATGAATTGATATCTAGCTGCAGATCCATATCTAATTGTTGTTGTGCTGAAGAAGATATGGTGGAGTGGTAATCTAATTGTCAAAACCACACATTATTTTATAGCTGTGACAAGATGAAAATGTTTTTCGAACTGAATAGTCTCAATAACAAAAATAATGACAATTAACAAATACTATTTTACTGAACCATGGTTGTAAGTAGCACATTATCTCTACACAGGAAAATTAAACAAAGTGACCCGGATAAGTCTAGATGGAGGAAATTTTAACAGAATTGTGATGCCACAATTTGCATTACACATTTCCTACCTTTTAAAATAAGTTTAAGTAATTAAAGTTATTTTAAAAGGTAGGAAATATGTAATACCAATTGTGATATCACAAGAATATATCACATTCCAGACACATGTCAGATACACAAGATATTTGAACCTATATTGGAACTAAAATTGGATCGGAGATTTACTTGGTAATGGATAAGATGGGGGATGGATTTCAAATGCGAGCAAGCACCATGATAAATGCCTCGAGAAGTTTTACTGCGAACAGTTGAAAAATCGTTCTTCAAAATACAAAATTGGAATAATAGCTTCTTAGAAATCTAATTTTAAGCAAATCGTATATTTAAAATTTAATTTCTCAGGTATTATTCCATCGATTGTGGTCAAATACTGTATTTCGTTTTTAAAATTACTTTCTTTAAAATTATGTAAAAATTTGTGTTCCTAACTATTCATAATTTTTCGATTAGTATTAAATAAAATAATAAGATATAATACATATGTTTAAAAAATATTTTTTTGACCGATGTTTCTTTGGTTAATCGCATTTTAAAAATGTGAGTCTCAAAATTTTTAGTCGCTTCAAAAATTCCCTTGATACGCGAAAATTTAAATTAGCGAAAATTTGAACAACTCTCTTGACTAAACTATTGAAACTGTATTTCCCAGACTGTGTCTGCATCTCATATTTTGAGAGTTTATTCATAGACAGTACGTTTTTTGCTTGACTTAGTAACTTAAAATATCGTCTGAATTAATTAATTAGCATAATTGAGGTCACATTTAAAACCATCATACTTCAATCCCAGTAAGCTAAAATCTGATCATTAGATCAAAAGTTATTCAAGTCGAATTGTTCTTTTTCCAACTGCAAAAACCCAGCATACTATTAGAGTATATATTTGAGTCAACAAACTGATCGTTGACAGCGTCGAGTGTCAAACGTGGCTGGTATATTCGGTTATTTTAAAGTCAGTACTTGCCTTTCCTCGAATCTTGGCTAACTGCCTTACTTACTAGGTAAGGCAGTTAGCCTTTAGCTTGTTATAAATCAAATAATCAAAAAAATTATTTATGCTAGAGTTATTCTACAGAAATTCGGAGAAAGAGCAGTAAATCTATTTCCTAGAAAGTTAGTTTTTAAAATTCCTTAGTTTTTCAGTAATTAAAATTCTTCAACTTATTTTTTTTTCTTATTCTTTAAATATTAGGATAAATTATTCGTTCCTAGCAATGGAGTATACGCTTAAGAAAATCTTACAACAATGACATTTTACAGCAGTTCATATTTTCAAGCAAGGATATTACAAATCATATTAGGAGGAAAGAATTTACATGAATTATCATTCATTATATGTTCTTTTTAATTTATTGTTTCAAATTAATATTTTGTTTAAAATGTTTATTGTTCATAAGTTTATTGTTTATTTAAACAAATTCAATTGTTTAATGTTCCTTTAATCTAAATTGTTGATACGTTAAATTTTTATTATTTTTCTTTCTATTTTCAGTTCCCTTGTGAGGCAGTGAACTGTCAATGAACTTTCAGTGAACTTTCCAAACGAAGACATATGAAACACAATACTTTTAGCTTAACTATTAAATTCACTATAAATAACAATCTCTACTACCTTGTGAGGTGAAATTGCGTAAAAGAGCATATTGATTTTAATGTTTCTGCTGTATTAAGTTAATGAATAAAAAACAAATAGTTGTTGTCAGCTTTATTTATGTGGAGATAGGCAAAAAATTAAATATTATTTTTTATTCCATTACAAATTGCGCTCAAACATTTCCAGCTTCAACGTATAAATATGAAGTAGATAAATGTATGTATGTACAGTGCGCAAAAAGAAACTAAACGGAACACCCTGAATAATTTTGTTTTTCATTTCTCAGGTTGTTATCTCTTTCGAAAATAAGTCTTGCATATTTTTTATTAAGTCATTAAAATTTTAACCATTTATGAAAAAAAGTACAGAATGTTTGTTTTAATAAAAATTATAAAATATGTTTACCTTTTGCATCGAACTTTACGTCCGAAGTCTACCTGGTGTTATATTCATTGAATCAATATTTTTTTAAATATATTTAGAATGGTGTTAACACACGTTATATTATTTTGTTACATTTATTGAATAATTTATGCATAATTTGTTTTCACGATTAAATTATAGTTATATTGTTTTGTGTATGACCATTGTAATATTCTTTTACAAATTTGTATTATTGCAAACACAATATTACAATAGCGAATAATGATCAGTAGTTTTTTAATCATTTCATTATAAATATTCTTCTCATTTTAATATTTATTTTTCACTTTTAATTCTTAATACTTATTAAAAAAGTATATGTACATCTAATTTATTGGTATTCATGGTGTCTGGCAAATTTTCTGCTCTAAAAGTATCATCTGTTTTATATCAAATGGTTTTATTTTAAATTCCATAATTAAACATTTTAAATTAAAATGCTAGAAAACAGTATTGAATATTAAATAAAAAATATTTATCAAATTATTAAATTTCCATTATTTAATTAATCGGAAAAGTTTCGTGTATTTTTTGTTATTTGTTTAATAATTTGGAAACTACTAATACTAAACATTACTGAATATATTCAACGAATCAAAATTTATCAATACATGCGAGATAGTTCTTAAATTAAAAAACAACAACGTTTATGCTTGAAGTTTGATAAACAATACATCGATAAAAAGGCACTTGAAGGTAGAAATAATTAAATGCTTTGATAACATTTCAAAATCATTTTTTACGATAAGTATCTAAAGATTTTTTCAATATTTTGTAGCCTATATTAAAACTTTTATGTCAAAATATGACTTTACTTTAATGTTGAAAATTCTGACATTCTTACAAGTTAAAGGTTTCATCGAATTGAATAACTTTTTATTGACAGTACGAAGCATAAATGCTCCTCTCATAACGTATGTGTACATGGTTTATATCAAATTAACCTGGAAATAATAAATCGTCGCATGAACAGTTTATTATTGATCAATATTTATCTTATTTAAAACTGAAAAAATATATGTTTATTTAGAAAAATAAGTTTGATCAGTTGATATAAAAATAAGAGATATCAAATCGAATTTAGCTCTGTTCCTTTTGATTTCACACTTTCTTATTGACTTCAATTCACAACTTCAAGATGAACTCACGAATCGCTATTTTCTTGTTTTTCATTTTTGCTACATTAGCTATTTCTGGTAAGAATTATACATTCCTTTACTATTTCAACTAACTTTTGAGTTTATTAGGAAACTGCATAAAAATATATTTGATATTTCTAATACATGTTGTTTGAATAAAAATTAAAATCAAGAAGAAAAATTTGACATCCTGTCCAAAGAACCTATTTTATTTAAATAATTTAATTTTTCTATCATAGGATACCGACAGACGTTGTGTGTTCGAAAAAACGAAATTAAATGTAAAAAATGCTAAACCATATATTTGAGATTTGAATTTCTAAATTTAAAAAAATATTTTTACCATTGCGAATTTTCAACTGCGAAATTTCTTGTCAAAAATTAAGCTGAACAGTAGTTTTAAGTGCTTTTAAATACGCTAGTTGCTTTCAATTATCCCTTTTTACAATGGAGGTCTTCAATTTTTATGATAACATTGCGTAAGGATTTAGCATTTTTCTTATATGTACTAATACTCAAATGAAATTTTAATTCTTTGCTATTTAGTTATAAGAATATTTGGATATAATTGGTGTATGTATCTTTAAATTTAATCTACGACATAATTTTTCTAGTATCTTTGAGATCTTTTTGATGTTATAGTCCTTGTTTTCTCAAAATGTCTGTTTAATGTCTGTTGGTCAATGAAATTAAAAAAGATTAATTTAGCAGGAATAGAATCAAGCAAAAAATTATTACAGTACTATCATTACCAGAAATTAAAAAATAAATGAGAAAATTTCCTTAGTTCATAATCATTCAATTCATCATTCACTAAACTATTAAATGGGAGCATTTTTCGTCTGTGTATTTGCTTAAATTCATAAATAGTACTGAATTTAGTTATTTTAGTTACAGAAAAAAATAGAATAACTTTAATTTATTGTTCAACTGTGTGTAAAGCACTGTCGTATACCTTTTGAAAAATGTTTTTGGGGGGAATATTCAAGAACATATTCGAGTAATGAATTTAGTATTTGTGAATCAAAATTATGAATTTAATTATTTTAAAGTTTTATTAATAGTTAAGTTAATAGTATAAGTTTTAAATAAAGTTGGGTTTTGTTAATTAATGAAAACTTCTTTTTTGTAGCTACGTTTGCTGAAAGTATGTAAAACAGTTGAGTTCATATTGATTATTTCGTTATTTTTAATTTCCTTAAATCATGTTTCATTCGAGTATATGGGTGATTCTTGGGAAACATGACAATTCGAGAAAAAAACTTCTTCAAAATAATAAATTTTTTTTTGTATATTTATTTAGTTGCATTTATCAATATCTTTCAGACAGCTGTTAAGTTCACTGCCATTTGCTCTAGAAAAAAAAATAGAAATTCAATAAATTTTGAATGCCAGGAAGATGTCTAGAAATCCAGGAAAGCAATGTATTGGCATAGAAGTTAAGAAAATAGTCATTTTAAATAACTGAATTTAAGAAACTCAAAAAAGACAAAGTTCGGAAGTTAACTTTAACTTTTTATAGAAATAAATTTCAAAAATAATTACCGTGAACAATTTGAGTAAATGAGTTAAGTAGAGTAAAGGTTAGAGAGTAACACACACACCATGAAATAGTTTTTAATTTTACTACACTTTAGTTTTCAAAGAAACAATTAAAACAAAGCAAAATAAGTTGTAAAATTTCATTAATCTTCAGAGGAAGCAAAAGGCCTTTAAGATATTGGGTAAGGAGCAGACATTTTTGAAATGGTAATATTCAAAGACATTTTGACACAGTTTTTTTTCCAGGGCCACTTGAAGTGATTAGATAATCTGTTTGCCAGCACGAATTATAAAATTAACTTTAATATCTTTATGAACGACTTCAAGAACTTCTCGTACAATGAAAATGATAATCTCAGTAATTTTTATGATTTCAGCATTTAAAATAGGTTTTACTTTAAATTAAAAATCAGCTCAGTCACCTAGAAACCATTCATCTTCGAATTGAATAGCCACTGAACTATTAACTTTAATTGTCTCAAAAGCACCTTTAATAGATTCATGCTCAGTTGAATATGATTCAATATTAAAATGAAGAGTTGATACTGTGGTACAAAATTTGAGTAGTTGAGCTAACCAATGTGAAAGTCACATTTAATACTGGCAGTTACAGCTCATTTTACGAAAGAAGAGGATAGTCAAAATCTTTTTTCTAGAAGACTTCGTGCACATTCAGAGGCCCCTTTTTTACTTTAATGAGTTTATACACTGTTGCTATACTTATACACTGTTACTTAACGTCTTCAATTATTAAATTACATTCTTTTTCAACAGCAGAAATGAAAGTTTTCATAATTCGTATGTAGGTGGCTGGGTGGCGCAGTAGGTTTGTAGTCCGCCTTTTGCGCCCAAGTCTGCGGGTTCGATCCCAGGCCCAGACACCAGATTTTTGAGATGCAGAAAATCCTCAGCGGCCATGTCGTATGATTATGCGGCATGTAAAAGATCCCTGGAGTGCCTATTGGCTCTTGGCATTTCCGGCAAAATTGAATTCCTAGTGCACTTTAGCATCCAAATAGAGTCTCGGTGCTACCATCTAGTGTGGCAGAAACCAGACGTCCAAATTAACATGGCCAACGTTATCTCACCCATTGTGGTGGTCCTGAAAGAGTGGATACCACTTCTGGAGAACGCAATAGTCCTGCTCGTCGGGAAGACTGATCGTGCAGCTCATAGGAAATAAAATAAAAAACTATTTGGTATGTCTCCACCAAAAGCTAAACTTCTTTTTCAGCAGAGCGTTTTACACCAGCCTCAACACTTTTCTGTGCACCCTTTCCATGGCCCGATTCTGTCAAATGTCAGGATTAAACATTGGACAAAATTAGAGGAAATACAAAAAAAAAATTTTAAAAATTTAAAACATAAAAATTTGTTTTAGTTCTATATTGTAATTGGAACGAATCCCTAATGAAATATATTTCGTTGCAGCATTCTCCCTGAGGAACATTACTTAAAATTTTTCTTATCTGTGACCAAATAGCACATTAGTAATTTCGTAGAGATCCTGATAGAGTTGAAAATGAAGAATTTGTAGTCCTTTCCGCTGGTGTTTGATATAATACTCCTGCGAGTGCCGTAAATTGTGTCCTTGAAGCTCCAGAGTGTACTACTTGTGGTTCTGATGCATATTTGATGATGTAGTTTTCACTGATATCAATGTAAATTAAAATTGATCACGTGGAAAGTTTTTATTTTAATTTACTGGGAGAACTGAAATTGATGCTTTATTCTGGCAATATGTCTCATATGTTCTATCAGTATTACTTTTCTCTCTTTAACTCAACTTTCCGAATGGCTTTACAACTCTTTTCTTTTTCCATTGAACATACCATGAATATCATGTAGGTTTTTCTTTCTCAAGGAGCCCTCTATAAAGTTTAATTCTTCCATACCACTTCATCTCAGCTTCTCGTTATTTTTCTCAAATTATTTTTCCTCGACTATGTTCAGGCTCCATGGTTTAAAATCACCTAGTAAAATTAATTTTAGAATAATTTGCATCGGAATTTTTTTTTATAATATTATTTAAATGTATCATATTTCAAATCATTTTACTTAACAACTTTATTACATTCTTTAATTTATACAACCAAGCAGAGTTTGAAGACTATGGCAGAAATAAATTGCACAGTGATATTTTTAGCTTATCATTTATATTTTAACTATCTGTGNCCATTGTGGTGGTCCTAAAAGAGTGGATACCACTTCTGGAGAACGCAATAGGCCTGCTCATCGGGAAGACTGATTGTGCAGCTCATAGGAAATTAAAAAAAAAAACTGTTTGGTATGTAACCACCAAAAGCTACACTTTTTCTTCAGCAGAACGTTTTACACCCGCCTCAACCCTTTTCGGTGCACTCTTTCCATGGCCCGATTCTGTAAAATGTCCGGATTATACATTGGACAAAATTAGAGGAAATACAAAAAAAAAAAAATTCAGAAATTTAAAACATAAAAATTTGTTTTATTTCTATATTGTAATTGGAACGAATCACTAATGAAATATATTTCGTTGCAGTATTCTTCCTAAGGAACATTGCTTAAAATTTTGTTTATTTGTGAATAGCACATGAGCAATTTCGTAGAGATTCTGATAGAGTTGAAAATGAAGAATTCGTAGTCCTTTCCGCTGGTGTTTGATATAATACTCCTGCGACTACCATAAATTGTGTCCTTGAAGCTCCAGAGTGTACTACTTGTGGTTCTGATGCACATGATGTAGTTTGCACTGAAATCAATGTAAATTAAAGTTGATTACGTGGAAAGTTTTTATTTTAATTTACTGGTGAACTGAAATTGATGCTTTATTCTGGCAATATGCCTCATATGTTCTATCAGTATTACTTTTCTCTCTTTAACTCTACTTTCTAAATGGCTTTACAACCCTTTTCTTTTTCTATTGAACATACCATGAATTTCATGTAGGTTTTTCTTTTTCAAGGAGCCCTCTATAAAGTTTAATTCTCCTATACCACTTCATCTCAGCTTCTCGTTATTTTTCTCAAATTATTTTTCCTCGACTATGTTCAGGCTCCATGGTTTAAAATCACCTAGTAAAATTAATTTTAGAATAATTTGCATCGGAATTTTTTTTATAATATTATTTAAATGTATCATATTTCAAATCATTTTATTTAACAACTTTATTACATTCGTTAATTTATACAACCAAGCAGAGTTTAAAGACTATGGCAGAAATAAATTGTACAGTGATATTTTTAGCTTATCATTTATATTTTAACTATCTGTGTTCTGAAAAAAATAACCTAACACCTTTGCGTTAGATGGACCATGAATTGTTTAATTTAGTTCCTTTATCCACTGTAGAAAGAATCAAAAATATTTTTGCTGTTGGTATGTACAGAAGAAAATTGTGAATAATAATCAATCATTAAATAAATAACTTTACTTACATACGAGCATATTACAATCTTTCATAAACTGGATATTAAGTAAATATTTGCTTTCCCTCTTTACATTATAGTGTTTAAAATTTTTTTTAAAAATGTCATTTTCCTGGCATTTATAATCCAGGAAAATGACAGCCAGAATAATGACAATTTGCCGTTTTGCAGCATTTAATTTTACTTTAATTTAACGTTTCGGCCTAAGACGTTCACTTTCCCCAGAAAACAACAGGATTTCATGAAATAACTAAGGTAGATCTAAATAGTTTACGTTAGTAATGATTTCAAGAAGACAGGAAAATGACAACTTAAAAACCTACTCACCTTTTAAATTTTTTGAAATACATTTTGACTCAGAAAGTTGGCTCCCTATTGCTGCATTAAGACATGTTCTGATAGGATGGTATTCTAAACAATCTCTTAACCTACTAACTGTAACCTAATTGATTGTAGGAGCTATCTATTTCAACTATAAATTACTAAACAAAAATGGCCAGGAAAATGATTTTCATGTGACAAACAAATTATTGACGGAAAATCTTTCTTTCAACAAAGTTTTTACCCTCTGCATATATTCTAGAAGTGCTTACAACGGTTGAGATAAAAAAAAATAGATATTGTAAAATGTATGGAAGTTTTGAAGCTAGTTATTATTGGAAATATTGTTTGTGACATACCAGGAAAATGACGTTTGGATATTCAGTTATTTTTTTTAAATATACGAAATAGCCAATAATATTTCAAAGTCATTTTAAAATGCTAACAGCAATGAAATTTATAAAAGAATTTAAAGCGCTCTTTCAGTAGTATAGTATTAGATCTTGGAGCAAAGGACTGCCAATTGTCATATTTCGTGAGAATCACCCACATGCAAAAATACTTTATTCAGAATAAATATTTTATTCCCGCGAAAAGTCAAAATTTTTGTTACTTATAACTTTAATAAGTGTTTTATTTGTTTGTAAGATTAAATCGAAAATTACTGTAAAGATATATTTGAATTTAAATTAGTTATTTTATTCAGTTGATTTTAGTTATGATTTAAATCAGTGTAACTTGAAAAATTAATCAGTAATGTTCCTTGTTGTTTATGGGTCTTTAAACTTTCAATTCACATATTGTATTTTTTTACCTCATGTCAATTTTAAAAATATATATCTACATATTATTTCTTTAAGAAATATGTTAATTTACATAAATGATTTTTTTTGAAAAAATTAGTTGAATATTACAGGATTTAAAAATTAGCTTAAATCAATTACTAGTTTACCAACACAACATATTTAAACTAACGAACTGTTAATTAAAATACTATTAAAAAGTTTAATATAAGCGAGAAATATCGTTAAAAAGTTTAGACACTAATTTAGACATGTTAGTTTCATATTTAGAAGACTTCCTTGCAACATTTATATTTTATTCTGTGTTTGTCTAAACGTTAAGCATATATTATGATAATGTATAAATATATCTTAACATAAATAAAGCAAATATAAAACTTTTACTTAATTTTTTTTATATTTCCTGAGTTAAAAGAATTCAAAAGAATAATTTTAATAATCAATAGTTAAATATTATATTAGTAAACACTCTTAACTAGTTAATATTTGATTTTAATTGCTCTTTTTTAGTTCAAGTGTTACACAGCTTAAGTGAAGTGGGTTTACCCCCTGCAACTGGTATGTAATAAAATAACTTTAATTACGTTTGAAAAAATTACAGATTACTAAAACGTACATCTATTGTCGTTTTAACTATTTGCCTGGTGTATTAAAATATATATTTAGAAAAACAGAAATTATTGTTAACAATTTTCTCAAAAACAGTATTATTATCCATCTTAGGAATGTAAGGTATTTTTAAGGGACTTTATTAAGTAAATATAAGTTTACCTTTACATAATAAACTCACGTAAAGGTAAACTTAGCTTTAACCTTTATATTTAACACTAGAGAAATTATTATTAACTATACTCTAATAAACATTCTTATCCTTCTTAGGAATAGAAGGTATTTTTAAGGGACTTTATTATATAACTCTAAGTTTATGCAATCCTCCAGTCAATTTTCCTCTGCGTATCGAAAACTCACTATTTCTTAGATTGAATACTTCCATCCATGCATTTTAATATTTTGTGAAGGCAAACTTAAGTTTGTCTGATCCGCCTTGAGTTAGTTTTTTTAACTAGAAACTTCGCAATATTATTATCATTTCCGTTATCGAATGTTCTCTTCCGTCAAAAGAAATGTTTTATTATGTAGGTTTGAATTCAGCCAAACCTGCTTAAAATTCTCCTCTTTGTATCGAAATACTGAAAAAATATCAATTATTTTTACTATGAAATATTTTCGTCCATTTAAATTAATCAATGTTAATAAACTCGAGTCTAAACGAATTGCCTTGTGTTTGTAGCTTTATATGAAAACTCCCGAGAAATTATTATTATTTTCTTATTTGAATACTTTTCACCCTGAAAGATATTTCTTATGTAATACTAAGTTTAACTTTTTAACCTCGATTCTTGAGATCGAGATGCATCAAAAGCTTGTGAAATTTTTAACAAATAAACTTTCACTTGAAAAATCTCACCTCTTTAACATGGTTTAAACATAAGAAAGATCGAAATTTTTAAATTCGATTTTAATGGTGCTGAGTTTAGATTTATATTATTAGTTTGATAAATAAATGCTATATATATATAT